TGGCGGCAGGCGCGCGTAGACGGTCCCGGGGCGCGGCGCTTAAGGAACAGGCTGGTGGGCGCCCACCCAGCCCTGGGCTCCGTGCTCCTCACCCTGTAGCCAGCTTTTTCCAAGAGCCACATGTGGCGGGGTGGGGGTACGAAACTCTGTAATCCGCAGGGCCGAGAGGGTCCAGATCCAGCGTCTCAGGTGGGAGGACCGGGCGAGGCTGGGCTGGGCGAGGGAGAAGAGCTGGAGGTGGGTGATGCTGCGAGCGTGCCCAGCGGTCCCCCGCCTCGCCCTTATCCCAGGCCCACGGGGCGCACGGACCCCTATTTTTGAGCGGGAAAACGGTACGGCGGCGAAGGCTAGAGGTCTTCCATTTCTAGGAAAAAAATGGTGGAGACTCAGGGCCGGATAGTCACATTTTCCTTTGCAAGCCTCTGGCATTGGGGAACCGAACACACGAATCTCCCATCGGTACTAAAGATGCCCCCCATCTCAGTGTCAGAGGGGCACTAGAACCCCAGGGCACTATTAGGATCAGCGACACCCCCATTACCAGTTGAGTAGGGCTTGTGATTACAAACCGAAGCAGACCCCGAACCCTACTCACATACATACAAGCTCTTCAAGAAGGGACATGGGGCCCTAGGCACCCCCGCCCCCGCCTCATTTGGAAGATTTGAGCTCTCCCTTCAAGATCTGATCTGTGGCCGCAGGACTCCCTCCCCTGCCAGTCTGCTGGGCGCAAGCCTCTCTGGACTGAGCCATCCTGCCCTAGCCCCACCTGCCTCCTCTGACTCCTCCCTCGCCTTCTCAAGTCGCTTCTGACCAGAAAGGGACGCACTTATGCTCCTGGTAGCCAGGGGACACCCGGGGCAAGTCCAAGGAGATGCGCCTCTCAGGGCACAGGACCCCTCACCCCTTTCACCCTGACCTTCCAGGCCCGCAGCCTCCCTGCCCTACCTCCTCTCAAGTCTGCAGATCGGCCTGGCCGTTGAGTGGCCCCTCCCACCTCCACTCCTTTTCGCCCTTGGAAACCTCGGAGCACAAAGGCTGCATTGATTCTCCGCCACCCCCCAGGCTGCTCCAGAAGGCTTCACCGCTGAGCGTCCACCGCACCGCTGCGGCGAACCACCAACCATCGGAGCGAGCGCGATGTTCCGACTGTGTGCTCCGGAGTCCCAGCTCAAGTCGGACTCAGTCTTTCGCCCAGAGCTCAGGCCTCACCTGTTGGTTCGCCGCTGGGGCTCGGCCTCTAGCTTTGAGCCTGAGGGGAGCAGCTTCCTTTCCAACTTGCTCCCCCAGCCCAGTCCTTCTGGGAGGAGCTGGCAGGGCTACGTCCGACCTCTTTTCCTGGATAAACACAGCTCTGTCTCTGAGGCCATCAGTCCAGCTTTCTCAACTTCTTCCTCCAGCTGGCGCCAGGTTTTTAGCAGCAAGCCAGTTCTTTGCCCAGACTGCCTCTGCTGGGTCTGCGTTGCTTGGGGTTTAGGGAAGACTATAGAGAAGTGGGAGACTGCCAGCTGCTGAGGCAAGAGGCCTGCTGCCAGCAGTGAGCAGTGTCTGCGGTCCCCCTGTGCTGCACTGGCTGCCCAGCCTTCCCAGGTGAAGCCCATGGCCATAGCCACACAGACTCCAGCTTGAAAACCCTCCTTGCTGGAATCCTGCCTTGGACCCCATTGCCCTGTTCTGGAGTCATCCCAATAGCTTCCAGAAAGATTGACTTTCAGAGATCAGTCGCCCGAGTCACACTGGCCTAAGGAAAAGTAGCCAGGCTCAGGAACTCTGGACATAAAGACACTGAAGACAGAGTTGGTTCCAGCAGAGTCAGAATCACACTGGCCTATGCCCTCCGCCGGTGTCAGAGCCCAGGGAGCACAGGCCACCAGTGACAAGATGAAACCATCAGATGCATTCCACGTGCACCTGTCATACTTCCGTCTCGTTCCCTCCTTAGGACCTTTACTATTTACTCTCCTGGGACCACCCTCCTCCTTCATCTTTCATATCTAGATGCCCCCATTGACATCCTCCCATCTTCCATTGCTGTGGCTCCTGCCTCAGTCCAGCCTGGTGGTGTCTGGGGAGGCTCAGCTCAAGGGGAGTGCTGCAGCCAAGAGTCATGGTTTTGCTGTTCATCAGATGGGCTGGGGAGCTGGGCTCTGCAATTTACAGCTGGGTGACCTCTTTGAGGCTTTCCCCTCTGAAAATGGAGAGATTATACTTAACTTTCAGGGTTGGTGTGAAGATCCAACTCAGCTCCATCTGACTTAACAATAAGGACATTTTGAACTTCCATGGTTAAGTCCAGAAGGAGAGTTGGATTTGCTTCTGTGGCTTCATTCATTTGTTCATTCATCCAATCATAGTTGCTGAGTACCTATTACGTGATAGGCACTGTCCTGGACTATGGGAATATAGCAGTGAGAAAACAGACTAATCCCCTGACCAGACGTAGTTTACGTTGGGGGGGGGGGAGATAATAGACAAAGATAATATAAGGAAAGAATATAGTTTCTAAGTTGGAAATAAGTGTTGTAAAGACAAAGTAGGGAAGGATGATGGAGGTGTCAGGAGAGTATGCAGGTTTCTTTTTTTCTCTTTTTTTATGGAGAGATTTTTGCCATAGGGTGCATGCACTCGCCAGAAAGACAGAGAGAGACAGAGAGACAGAAAGCGAGAAATCACCCCCGCCCCAAGGGGGATGGCCACGTTGCAATCCCTTCTCCTCCATTCTCCTCTTGGGATCTTGGGCACGCATGCACGCACGCCCGGCGTGAGTTTAAGCCACCGGGTCCAGGATTCAAACCGCAGTCAACTACGTGGTGGTCCAGCGACATGACCATTATGATAACTGCTGGTCCCAGGAGAGTATGCCGTTTTAAATAGAGTGGTCAAGGATGGCCACTTTGAGAAGGAAATCTTCCAGTAATGCTATGTAGGAAAGCTTTCTAGGCAGAAGGAATCTCAAACGCGAAGGTCCTGAGGCTGGAGTTAAGGAGGCAAAGAGGTCAGTGCAGTTGGAGCTGAGTAACTGAGGGGAAGCATGAGGTCAGAGAGATAACAGGCCAAACTGTGTTGGGGTTTGTAACCCCTGGAATAATTTTATTTTTATTTATTTATTTTTTAAGAGAGATTTTTGCTATAGAGTGTATGCTCACTGGAGAGACAGCGAGACAAAAAGTGAGAAATCAATCCCCCCGAGGGGGGAATGGCCATGCCACAATCCCTTCTCTCCCACTCTTCTCTCAGGATTTTGGGCATGCACTCACAGGTGCCCAGTGTAAATTTAAAGCTACTGTGTCCAGGACTCAAACCGCGGTCGACTCTGGGGGAGTCCAGCAGCATAATCATTATGCCATTTGTTGGTCCCAGCCCCTGGAATAATTTTAGATTTTACTCTTGGTGAACTGAGGAGCACTATGACTTGACTTCTGTGTTAAAAGGGCTTCTTTGGGGAACCAGCAGTTAGCGTAATGGCTATGTCGCTGGACTCCCACGTAGTAGACCGCGGTTCGTGTCCCGGACCCGGTGGCTTAAAACTCACGCCGGGCGCGTGTGCGTGCGTGCCCAAGATCCCGAGAGGAGAATGGAGGAGAAGGGATTGCGGCGTGACCATCCCCCCTGGGGGGTGATTTCTCGCTTTCTGTCTCTATGTCTCTCTCTGTCTGTCTGGCGAGCGCACGCGCCCTACAGTGAAAAATCTCTCCAAAAAAAAAAAAAAAAAAATAAAAAGGGCTTCTTTGGTGGCTTTGTTGAGACTAGAATGAAGGGGATAAGAGAAGAAGTAGGGAGACCAGGTAGGAGACCATGGAACAAATCTTGGTATGAGAAGGTTGGGACATGGGTCAGGGTTGTAGTAGCCAGTTTCTAGATATTTTGGAAGATAGAGTCAATAGGATTTCCTGTTTGGTCCATCTCTATCCAAAGAGAAAGGATGAGCTAAGGTTTTTGCTCTGAACGACTGGAAGAATGGAATTTTCATTTACTGAAAAGGAGAAAGATTAGGTGTGAGTTTTGGGTCAGTTAGATTTGAAAAGCCTGTTTGACCTGTACATGGAGGTGTCAAGTAGGCAGTTGGATGTATGAGGCTGGGGCTGAGAGGAGAGGCCCAGACTGGAAGGAGCAATATGGTCACCAAGGGAAATGTGGATGGAAGTTCAAGGCACACACCTTGATGAAGTGTAGTGGAAAAGTTCCAACATGTAGAGATTGGAAAGAGGGGGCGGAACCGCTGTGCCAGCTGCAAGATGAGGGACGATGAGAACTGGGGCCTGACCACTAGATTC